AAAAGCCTGAATGTGCTTTTTACTGTTTTGCCTTGCTTTTCAAAGAAAAAAAATCTATTACAAAACAACAATTTCAAAATATTTAACACTGAAAATTTTTAACATTCTAGCAGACACTATACCAACAAAGCGCAATTTAACTTAAAATTAATAAGTTAGTAAAATAATAATTTGTGGCCATCAGACCCCCTTCTTGAATCAGGCATGTATTTTTTTTTTTTCTGTACAATTAAAAGCAGCCTTGAAAAATATTACAGATCCTAATTTGAACTTCTTGCGTGTTTTACCTATTCCACTGCCCGCGTCGTATCTTTGTCAACACAAAAGCGCATTCTGTGTGAATGGCGCTTAGCGCTATATTAATGGTCCTTCACAGAGCGCGTCACACGTGAGCGGTTAATCACGTGCGCCGACATGCGGTTGGATCATTCGTTTCTCTTTACTGTTATCACCGGCATATTGTCAAAGTGTCTAATTCTAACATTTGGTAATATTTCTATTCAAACTCGCGATTCCTCAATTTCTAAAAAATAAAATCGTGGCAAAACAATAAATTCAAATTAATCGATTAAATCGGGAAAATTGCCCAGCCTTACTGTCTATCTGTCTATCGCTCCGTCAGTCTGTCTGTCTTATTATCTGTCTATAGATCTGTTTGTCTGTCTGTCGTTCTAGCTATCATTATATCTATCATACTGTCCGTAAGGCCTATAAACCCTCAGATCTTAAGCTAGCATTCAAAGTTCGTCTTAAGTTATATAAAAAAATTTGAATTCCAATTATCCATCATGTTTGCTATCTCAATTAAAATTGCACTCAATTTAGGAATTTAATTTAAATGTTAAGGCTATTCTTAATTCATTTCTAAATGTTGCACAACCCTGATGAACATACCATCAGTTTAACTAACTTGCTCTTCAAACTGTTTCTCTGTCTTGACCTTGACTACTTGACCTTAAAGGGAAGAGTGACCATGGAAGACAGTTTGCCCCCTTTCAGCAACTCTGAGAATGTAACACATATTTGTGTTTTAATGAATAATGTTCTCATTTTGATAATGCAACAACATGTTAAATGAGATTTTGTGCTTGTGTACTTGCATGGAGTGTTTTGAGTGCTCTGCCAATGATTATTTTGTTGTCACAGGAAATAATAAACTTTAAAAGAGAGCTCAGTAAATTTGATGACAGTATTCTCAATGAAAGCGTTTCAAATATGCTCTTCTGTTGCTTACAGTCTAGTGATAAAGCTGTTTCTTTTAGAAAGAAACAAGCCCTATCCTAAGTAAAATTGACTTCTTTAGCCTTCCAGCACACAGTAACGAGCTCTGTGCCAGTATCACCTCACCCCTTGCTTTAAAAACAGTAGAAATTAGTTCTCTTGTTAACATGCATCTGTTTTTTATCAGTGGCTTTTATAGACCTTACTCCACTTCATGTTTGCGTGCCAGGTTTTTGGCTTTGATCAAAGCTAGTTTAACCCAGGTTTCCTAAGGAAAGGTCAGCCGAGTTGATCTCCCACTAGGTCTGCACGAGACTCCTGCGTCAGACGTGTTCAGACGGCATGGAACCCGCCCTGCCTCAGAGCTCAACCTCAGGACTTCTCATGTGTCTTTCACCGCAGGTTCACTCTTTAATGTGGAGAGACTGGTTTTTTGAACGGTTGTTTCTCATCACAGTGTAATACGTACTTTCAAAATCTAATCAGAGCTTTTGGGCTTTGCCAGGAGACATGTATCTCCCTCAGACAAGTTGAGACCTTACAGCAGATGAGGGCTTTGTTGAAAACGACGTGTTTGAGAGAGGCGGTGCATAGAGGACCTACAATAATGTACAGTATTTAAAAAATAATGTGTTTTTTGAGCATTAAAGCATGTCAACATATTCTGTTACACCAAATACACAAAATAATGATCTTTAAAATAGCATCATATGACCCCTTTAAACCAATACAAATACAGTAATATCTATACTATTGTTCAGTGTTAATTCATGTTCATTGTTAGTTAGGGATTTCTAATGCATGTACTGATGTTAACAAATTGAACTGTTTCAGTCTTAGTTTCATTAAACCAATAATTAAATTGTCTCCTTAACTTTAGGCGCTTGTAATGTAGCTAAATGTTTCAAGTAGCTTTCCAAAACTTGGTTAGTATTCTGGCTGATCCTTTGGAATACCCCCTCCCCGTTTGTTGTGTATACTCCCTATGAGGAGGGACCATTGTCCAGGATCATATCATATCGCCCTCACAACATACAGGAAAGAAGTTACTTGTGCTGTAGTCATCAGAGAACAAAGCGGTAGGTAGTTTTTACACATCTGCACCACAAGATGATTTATGACATCTGATTGCATATTTTTCCATTACTGTTTTCCTTATTTCATCACCTGTTCTCACGGTAGACTGGTTTTGTAGCATTTTGATGGTGTTATTGTGTTATTGTCTTTTGAATGTGATGTGCATGCAAATTTCTGTATTTGGTGAGCCCACCCTTGATTTAATGCTGTAGGTTCTGTGGAACTTTGTGCTTTTTCTTTTTTTACTTTTTTAGACTGTAAAGAATGTTGAAATTCAGTTTGGCCGATTGCTTTATAGCTGGTATGACCTCAAGCATGTTAGAGGCCTGTTGATATTTTCCTTATATTTGTGGTTAAATCCTGAAAGTTAACTGAGATTTCTGAGTGATATTCATTTGGTGTTCATGTTACGGCTGTGTTTGAATTGTAGGGTGTGTTTATGCCAGTGTAATGTGAGTGGGTTTATGGGGGTCTGTGGCTAACATTGGCTTTATTTCAGATGGCAGAATAAAAGACGTTGCTGTTTCCCAGGCAGATTCTGTTACTGGGTTTCTCGATCCATTGCTTCTGGTCAGCTTCTTTTCGGTTTTTCACTTTGACATAAAATGCTTATGAGCAATGTGGTGCACATACCAATCAAATCAAGTGATGACCAAACAAATTCAGTACGGTGCAGTTTTCACATCTCATCTTATGAAGGACTGTCTCATCATTGTCTAATAAAACCATTTGAGAAGCTATTTCAGAATGAGCCACCTAGTAGCAGTAACTTCACCATTTGAACCCAATAGGCATCGTACTCCATTGACGACCAGAACGGGTTCACTTTAAGTGTTCCTGCTCAAGGTAGATTGTTATTGACATCTGAGGTGCGTGAATATGTGAGGCTAAAAACAGCATACAACAGCAGGGTTGTGTGGTAAATTGTAGACGGCATATGGCAGTCCTGTGTTGATCAGCATGAGTTTTTCATAAACCAAAGGAAAAACCAGATCCAGCGGGCTCAGTCTGCACCTGCGTGTTGAGTGTTTTAGACTTAGATGGTGTGCCATTTAGTAATGGTTTGTTATGACCATGAAAGCATCATTTGGAGTATGGCATGGACTTTTAGAGATTTGGCCCTGGAATTTAGAAGTACATACTTTACTGTTGAAAGAGGTCATATGAGGCTGCTAGAACACAGAAGACATTTGTTGACTTTTAAAGGAGCAGTCCTTTCTTTTTTCCATTTCCAAGTGCAGTTATTTAGCTCTTTTTCGTACAATGAAAGTGGATGGGGACTGGGTTTGTCAAGCTCCAGAAATGGGTAAAAACACTGCTTTAAAGTAGTCCATATGATTTGTGCGCTATATGTACCGTTCAAATGTTTGGGGAGAGTAGGTTTTATTATAATGTTTTTGAAAGAAGTCTCTTATGCTCACCAAGGCTGCATTTATTTGATCAGAAACACAGTAAAACAGCAATATTGCAAAATATTTTTCTATTTGATATAATACGTTTTCTATTTTAAAATATTATAAAATGTCATGTATTCCTGTGATATAAAGCTGACCTTTCTTTACTGTCACTTTTGACTAATTTTTGAACAAAAAAGCAAAAACAAAATCTTACTGTCTCTACACTTTTGTTTAGTCTTCTCAAATCATAGGATAGGTTTCTGTACAACGACAGATATTTATTAGGTGAAAATATTTCAAATTGTGCACATTCAAATATGGTGCCTCTAGACACTTTCCACCTGGTTTCACGTTGTTGGTTATTTTGTGTTTTATGTGTTTATTATTAATTCAAATATACACAAATGAGTGAAGTATTGAATTTTCTCTTTTCTTGTGAACAGTTCCTAAGACAAAAAACTGCATTTAGGTCACAGTGCTGGTTTAGCTATATTTGTACAGATGTGAGGATTTGTCAGGTGGATGAGTATGAGCAGTTTGTGTTTCTGTATGAGAAAACAGCTGAGATGGCTGGGAATGTAATACAGACCTCACATTTTTATAGTTAATTTTTAGCATGATCCCTCTCAAATAGAACCTCTGGCAGCAGCCAGGGGATTTTGGGTACTTGCTTGCTCAAATAGCAAATCCAGCCATTGGAAAAAACAAATGATACTAACTTGAAACCGCAGTCCTTAAACAAACCCCTTTAAAGCTCATGTCAGTGGTGCTCCGTCAGCTTAAAGCTTTGAACAGACCATTTAACGTGCAGAGTTATGGAGCATTGCGTGTTAGAAATGTTATGTTTGAGTGTTGAAACTTGTATGGCATTACTATTTCAAGTCTACAGGAAGGGATTCAATGAATGCATCATTTTATCTTGAAGTTAATTACCAGATTTTATTTTAAAAGATGCTTCTCTAGCATGCAGTTGCATTTAGGTCGAGCTGATATCTCAATGGGTGCACAGTCCAGCAGGCAGATGGCCCGTGTCAGATGATGACCTCTGACCCAGGATATAGGATGAAGAATTTTGAGAGGGTTAATCATGGCTAGTTTGAACAAAAACTACTTCAGATCTGCTCTGAATTTATGAATGAGTTTATTTATATGAATGTCTTCACTGCTGGCTCCAGATTTATAGTCTTTCATGAATGAGCGCCTGGTTTCTTTGTCCAGCAGTTTCCACAGTGGAACTAGTGAAGCCTGTAAATGACATTTAGATCTTTCCCAGAGTGCTAATAATCTTTCTTTTCTGTTTTTTAGGGTGCCGGACAGGACAAACTTGGCATTTACATCAAGTCTGTTGTCAAAGGAGGTGCGGCAGACGTGGTGAGTTCGGTTTGGTTTATATTGTGATGTTCTTTATGGGCAAATGCAGATGCTGTGACCTCATTTCTTCAGAAACCACTAAGTGTGATTTCTCATACTTACTAGTGCTATTGAAAGTACTCGGTACTATTTTTGGAGTTGAAGCTGTAAAATCTGTAAAATTTATTTTTTTTCATAAAAAGTACAAATCTAGTTCAACCTTGCCGTTTAATGACTGTTTGAGTCTTGTTTTTGAATGTTTCTCTTTAGGATGGGCGTCTGGCTGCAGGAGACCAGTTGCTCAGCGTGGATGGGCGAAGTCTGGTCGGCCTCTCACAAGAGAGGTAATTCTGTAGCATTTGGACCTTTAATGATGTCTGTAGAATGGGATTTAAATAAATTTTAAATGGACTTACAGGTAAAGCATGCAATTTCCGGCTACATCGAAAAAGATGAGCATCTCAGTTAAATAAACAAAAGGATTGCATTCTAAAACCATTTCATTACACCACATAAACAAAGACTGTGTCTTAATATATATAATTAAGTTGTGTAAGTACAAAATATGACTGACGTCTCTCAGTCTTTAGAACATAGCCAGGTAAAAACGCCATTAAAATGATTATTGAATATATGTGGCATGCTGAATGACTTTAATTTTTATATGCTTTTAAAAAAATATGCACTCTTTAAAATAAAAAAGAGTGAGAGAGCTTCTGAAAAGTGACAAATATTGCCCTTTCATGGAGAAGTTAAATTTCTGACAGTTGTTATGTAATTATCCTGGATTTGACTTTCAAGCATATTTATTCCTAGTTCAGCATTTTCAGCCGTTAATCTGTGCAGTACAAAGCACCTTTTGTTTGCAAAGTCAAAACGGCTCAAAAAACATTCTCATTTCTGTCAGAAAAATTGCATTTATGCTTGTAGTTTTGAGAAGTGGTGGAATTGATGAAACTCTCAAATCTGTGGATTTGAGTTAAATGAGAAGCATATGGCTCAAAAGCCTTGTGAATAGACACAACTTAAATTGCCTTTGGGATTCGTTCCAGCCTCCGTCTCTTTGTTTACAGTCAGCTGACGGCAAATCCAAACAGACATTCTATGAGATTAGTCTCTTTAAATAATCTCTCATGGGATTGTGGGATTGCACAAATAATGCTTTGAACTTGAAATTCATTCATCATAGTCTGCAGTTTTGTGTGTTTTGCTCAGATGTCTCTGTCTTGTAGGGCGGCGGAATTGATGACACGAACCGGCTCAGTCGTAACACTCGAGGTGGCCAAACAGGGAGCCATTTACCACGGTCTGGCCACGCTTCTCAACCAGCCGTCCCCCATGATGCCCCGCGGTAAGTAACAGTATTCTGCTTAAAAAATATCAGCGGCTGCCACAACGCATGCTAGCGTGACTAATTCCTTAAAAAGGTGGAAATGTGGTGGACCTGGCACCTACAGTGTTCCCAGTTACACACCAAATGGTTCAAGAGTTGCGTTAAATATAAATGCTTTCGACATATGTCTGGTAATGTTTCTGATTTGGTGCATTGTGGGTGATTTCCCCCATTACAGAGAGATGGGCACTTCCCCAGTGCTGAATTTAGTCTAATTCAAGCCTCTTTTTCATCTCTGCAGCATCAGACCGTGGACGTGGAGACAAGGGAAAGATGAGACCAAAGAGCGAGGGCTTTGAGCTCTACAACAACTCTGTGCAGAACGGCTCGCCTGAGAGCCCCCAGGGCACGTGGGACACCTATCCTGAACCAAAGAAGGAGGACAGGTTGTTGAAGAACCGTGCAGACCACCGCTCCAGCCCAAACGTGGCTAGTAAGTGTGCCACTTCAAACACTTGACACATTTATCAGTATGGCTCATTTTCAAGTGCTGACATTATAGTAATAATATGCACCTTTTTTTCCCTAAAGACCAGGCCCAGAGTCCAGGTGGGAAGCCTGTTTATCCTGGAGCCCCAGGAAAGATCACTTCGGTCTCGACGGGTAACCTCTGCCCTGATGTGAGTACACACAATCATCGGCACCTCTAAGATGATTGTTGCATGAGTGTGCTAAAACTCTTTTTCCCTGTGAATTAAGAGAGTTTCTAGCACTGCTATTTAGCAACACTGATATTGAATCTACAGTGCAACCTGTGTTGTCCAACTCATTTCTGAATGAATAAGATGAATAAGTGAATCAAAACTTATATACTATAGGTATAAGTATAGGTCAACTGATTCCAGAACAAATGATTCTTATGAGCTGGTTCTTTTTAACAATTCAGAAGTATACCACATGAAAAGTATAGTTCAGCCATTTTCCAAATGGATGAGTTGGAAACGAATCAAAACATACAGCATGACCAGTATAGTTTAACCAGTTACTAAATAAATTATTCTTTTAATTAATTAAAAACGTACCATGTGAAAAGTACAGTCCAGTTCATTCTCAAACAAATGAATCTTATAAGTTGATTCCTTATTATTGAATCACAAACATACAGCATGGCCAGCAGGGGCGCGGGAAGATGCTTTCGGTTGGGGGTGCTGTGTGTGTCCGTGTTGGGGGGGCGCTAGCGTCACGTGTTCATGAGGATTAGGCTAATCATCCCATATAGAAAACATCACAAGTAAAATTAATCATGTTTATAAAGATAAACATGGGTTTATTATAGCACACTTACAATTTACATTTCAGAGATCATTTCAAATAAATTATTAAATGCTAAAACTGAATAAATTTAAATGAACAAACCTGGCGTTGCATTTGCAACCATGTGAAAACAGGGGGTGCTGCAGCCCCCTCAGCACCCCTACTTCCCGCGTCCCTGATGGCCAGTGTAGTTTAACTGATTCCCAAGCAAATGTCTCTTATGAGCTGGCTTTTTTAACGATTCAAAAACATACCAAATGAAAACTATAGTCCCAACAATTTTCCAAATGGATGAGTCTTATGAGTTGATTCTTTTTAGTGAATTAAATCATACAACATGACTAGTGTAGTTTAAAAAATTCTCAAGCAAATGTCTCTCATGAGCTGGTTCTTTTTAGTAAATCAAACAAATACTGGTACATACAATTTGATTTAATAAATTCCTTACGATTCCCATTCCTAGTAAGTTATTTACAAAGTCATTAAGAAAAAGTGGCTACTTCGGCTGCATTGAAGCTGTTTTGGGGAACAATAACAGCAACTTACACTCTATAACTCAATTGAAAACATATAAATATCAGTGTTTGACTACAAATATATTTTGCTAGAAAAAAAAAGAGGGCGTAAAATTGCTTCATTGGAGTTCTGGGAACAATGTTGAGTGACTTTAACAAATCGCAATGAACCTTTTGAACCAACCCGAAAGTGAATTGTAGCGTTTTGTCATGCTACACAATTAATTGGAATAATGACTCATTGCTAGAGAAGATAAACATTTTTGTAAACTGCTGAGCTAATGACACACCACTGAAATATGTAGATAAGTTAGTAGTGCCACCTTTTTTAATGTGTTACTCCCTTATATCCAGAAACACATGAGAATAGTTAAAGGGGTCATATGATGTTGCTAAAAAGAATATTATTTTGTGTATTTGGTGTAATGAAATGTGTTTATGTGGTTTAAGGTTCAAAAAACACATTATTTTCCACATACTGTACATTATTGTTTCTCCTCTATGCCCCGCCTTTCTGAAACGTGTCGATTTTTACAAAGCTCATCGGTCTGAAAAGCGAGATGTGCTCTGATTGGCCAGCTATCCAGTGCGTTGTGATTGTCCGAATACCTCAAGCGTGTGACGGAAATGTTACGCCCCTTACCATATTGTGATGCCTTGTCCCGGCCGGAGCGACGAGACAAAAACATTAAAACCCATTATAAACGAGGCATTTGTTGCATCCAGTGGGGACATAATTACGAATTATAATGTCTTATACTGTCTTTTTACGCGTTGCATTGCATCGCGCCGCGTAAACATAAAACCATGTCTGCATTTGTGATCGGAGAAATGACAAACAACAAGC